GCTGCATCTTTGCCATGGAGGTCGGCCAGCTCCTGCTCCAGGTCCACGTGGAACTTGCTGGTGCCAGAAATATTCCTGGTTCCACCAGCTCCGGCCCCGTGCTGCTTCACCGTCTCCCTGTTGAAAATAAAATACCAATAACTCCAGGGTTTGGATCTCCAGAACTCATTCTTTCATTTAAGATTTACTTATTATTTATTATTTATATAGTGTTCTATCTGCATGTACGCCTGCAGGCCAGAAGAGGGCGCCAGATCTCATTACAGATGGCTGTGAGCCACCATGTGGTTGGTTGCTGGGAATTGAACTCAGGACCTCTGGAAGAGCAGCCGGTGCTCTCAACTCGGAGCCATCTCTCCAGCCCCAGAACTCATTTAAAATCCAGGGGGCTTACATTTCTACAACCCCAGCACTGGAGCAGAGTAACTTAAACTAAGGCTTCTTTTTTCTGAGAATAATCATTGCCCAGTAATACGATAAGAGAAAGCCCACTCTAGAAGGCCGCAAAGCAGTTACACAGTTACACATTAGGACACATACACACTACATGCTATTGCTCAACCTCACGTGGGACTCTCTTTAGCAAGCCTCTTGGATAATTTGATGAACAACGCTCTTTCTTCAGGATGGTCCCCCTGAAGGACAAAGATGGGACCTTCATCCTTTTAAACACGTCCTACTGAAATAGCCTTATCCATGTCTTCACAATATTCTCTGAAAAAGTCAAAGGCTAAGAATATTGTGCCAGTGAGATGGGTTCGTCAGCAGGCAAGGGGGATTTGCTGTAAAGCCTGATGAGCTGCGCTCAATCCCAGGACTCCTGTAGAGGGGGAGGGAGAGGGCTGCCTCTACGGAGAACGGAGAACGGCAGTGTATCACCGTGGATGCTTTCCGTGACTAAGTATTCTCCCATAAAACGTCCAGCTGTATAAACCGTCTGTCTTCCCAACAGTGCTAGTGGTGTCCGAAAGCTGACAAGGACTTACAGGACTGCCCCACACACGCGCGGGTGGCGACTCATGCCCAGGTAGTCGTTACTGCACCAGACCGACACCTGCTTTTTGGTGATGAGGGAATCTGTGTAATCATCTGCCATGGGGAAGATTTGTGCTCTCCGGTTCACAGTTTTAAAAACTCGGTAGGTATGGTCGTTTTTTTTCTCATCAATTTTCTTCTCAAAGAAACGATCATATTGAAAAGTGGCAACAGCTAAAATGGAAACAAATAAAAAACAGTACAGCCTTTTAAGAAGAATATCCGGGTTTGGGGAAGGAGAGACCTGAGTTCAAATCTCAGTTTGGCCATTTCACAGCACTAGGTTCAGGACTAGAATGAGTCCTAGTACCGTGAGGGGTGAACAAGACTGTACTTGTCACGTGTCAGGCACACTGTCCAGCACGCAGGCGACGGTAATAGAAGAGAGAGGCCAATGATCAGCGGCAGTCACTGCACTGTGCCCAACAGTACTCAAGCAAGGGCCACAGGGCCAGGCCTCACCTCGCCACACAACTTCACATTTACTCTGAGACACGTTTAACTCACAAACGAGAAGACTCACATTTCGGCAAGTTATCCTGAAGAAGATGAGACACTCGTTCTGGCCTTTGCTTTCGCATGATATCCTGGAAGTTCTTCAGCAGCTGGCTCGGGTCCTCTCCATCAGCTTTCATGTTGATCACATTGGGGGTCACGGAGCTTTGGGCAGCCTCTATCGCAAAAGTAACAAGAGGCATAGAAGACAGACTTTTACTCTCAGTTCACGACACCCTCTAGGCACACTGTCAAAAACAGCTTATGTCCCCGGGCAGACACAGCTGGAGATAGCTCATCAGCTAAGAGGACCTGAGTTCAATTCCCAGCATCCATATGGCGGCTCACAGCTGTCTGTACTACAGTTCTGGGATCGGATGCCCTCTTCTGACCTCCTTGAGAACTAGGCATATTTTGGTGCAGACATACATGTAGGCAAAATATTAAAATCAAATTTTTTAATAGCTTATTATCTGGGCATCTTGGTACATGGCTTTAGTTCCAGCACTTAGGAAGCAGAGTTGGGCAGATCTCTGTAAATCTGAGGCCAGACTGTGCTACATAGTGAGACCCTGTCTCAAAACAAAATGAAAAACAAAAAGAATAGCCTATTGCTTACTTCATGAAAAAAAGCCAATCATAACCAAAGTTAGTTGTAACGGAGTATACAGAATGTCTCTTCCTTCAGTGTGCTTATTATAGTGGCATTTGGTCCTGGGCTTCTTTTTGGCTTTTTGAGATGAAGTCTTGTTGTAGCCCAGGCTGGCCTTGAACTCAAGACCCTCCTGCCTCTACTCTAGTGCTGGAGCTACACGAGTGCACTACCTGGCTTCAGTGCTGTTGTGTTTTCACAGTTACCAGCCAGTTTTATCGGACATGAATTAGAGCCTGAGGCTCCCCAGCTGACTGGATGGACATCTCCTGGATCCATACAGCCTACTCCCCTCCTGAATACTTCTTGGATAGAAAGTAACTTTTGCTGAGGCAGCCTGTCTTCCTTCCTTCCTTTCCTTTTTTTTTTTTTTAAGGTAGGGTCTCTCAGCCGGGTGGTAGTGGTGGTGGCGCACACCTTTAATCCCAGTACTCGGGAGGCAGAGGTAGGCAGATCTCTGTGAGTTCTGGGCTACAGAGTGAGTTCCAGGAAAGGTGCAAAGCTACACAGAGAAACCCTGTCTCAAAAAAAAAAAAAAAAAAAGATAGGGTTTCTCTATGCAGGCCTGGCTATCCTGGAACTGTCTATGTAGACCAGGCTGGCCATAAACTCACATTGACCCTCCTGCCTCTGCCTCCCAGGTACTGGAATTAAAGGTGTGTGCCATGCTCAGCATGCTGAAGTCTTTAGAGGCTGTTGGGAGCTCAGATGAAGTTAAGGTTGCCTTTCCATGACGATCAGTAGGACGGACACACAGCTTGGAGTCCCAGGCTAGTACTCACTGCAGTAGTTCCAGTAATTCTACCTTCTATCCTACCAAAGGGAGGAAGGACCCAAGAGACAAAGGAACACTGGCATCTGTTCAAGACTACAGGTTATTTCCAGAAAGTAAGCATGACGTGGGGAGCCGGTCACCTCCTACACCTCACCAGAAGGCAAGTCCCACATTTTGCAATACAGTCCTGACTGACTGTCTAGCTTGAGGAGCTTCCTTCCCCATCGCTACTAAAAGAGGAAGGTGCTGCCATTGTTCCTGCTGGCCTAGCAATAGCTCACACATAAACCGGGGGTCCCGGGAGCAAAATGACAGGCTCCCTTCCCACTGGCCAGAGTTGTTTCTGGTACCTTTCCTCACAGCATGCATTTCCTGCACGTCCTCCTGAAGCTCCAGGCTGGCCTTGCGGAAGACACTGCTGCCCGTCTGGCTCAGCTGTGCGGCCAGGAAAGGGCACTTGCTCCCAGAGCCCTGGCTTGTAGCGGGTGACAGGTGTCCAGACGGGAGCTGTGTGCCATCTGGAGTCTGCTGGGAGTCGTCAGGAGCCTGCTGGACTGTGGCTTTGGCAGTTTTCTCTTCTGCGGAAGGAAATGGAAAGAATGAGGCATCAGACCAAGTCACTGAGTCTTCTCACTTCAAACTTTATACTCACTCCAGTCCATAACCCATGCTCAAGCTTACCTTTGCTAGACTCTGCTAATATCTGTTCTCACCTGCCTCACCATAACGGAGGTCCTCTGAAGGGTTTGTTGGCCCATCCCAGTTACCTCTCAGACTCATAGGCGGTCTCCTTATAAATCCAATATCACTATTTTATACTTTCAGACAACCCAACATACTTTCTTCATTTATTAAGACAGGGTCTTGCTGTGCAGCCCAGGATGCTTGACTTGGCAATCCTCCTGCCTCAGCCTCCTAAGTGCTGGGATTATGTGTGTGCTTAGCCCCCAAAGCTCTTGACTTGGATCACTGTCAGTAATTTCTACCTCATGTACACTCAGCATATTTCAGGAGAGTAATGTTCTCTAAGGCACCTGGAAGCAGTCACACAGTTATTTTCTCTTAGTATTTAAAAAAGGAGTTAATTAATTAATTAATCATGTACACAAACAAGCGGCCTGCATGCACCCCTCCAAGCAAGAAAAAAGAACCAAACAGAACTCAAGATAGACAGGAACCACCAACCAAGTGATGGCAAGGAAACCAAGAACCCCGGAAAAACAACCAAGGCCCCTAAACCCCGAACCAACCCCCCAACCTTCCCCTGAAAATTCCCAAAAAAATTCCTAAGAAAGCTCAATCCATTTTAAAAACACTTCTGAAAAACAAACAAACAAACGGCCATCACGCACACCTTCACATTGTCCCCTCGGGTTCCAACTCTTGGTGTGCCTGGAAAAGACCCAGGTTGCCGTCACACAGCTCACCTACTTTCCTGGTGAAGATCATCGAGGAAAGCTGCTGATGTAACACTGACTGGCTCTGTGCTCTAGGTTACAGACACTCCTCCATCCCTTGAGCAACATGCTCATCACCTTCCTTCTAGAAAAGTCTTCCTTCATCATTTTAGAATACCCCATGAGTCAGGGCTGCTCTTTCTACAACTTGGATAGGGTGTCTCAATACAGTTTCCATAACATTTTCTCTAAAGGGAAGTCGAGAGATGTTATTTTGAAATTAACTTAATTTTATAAGTAATGCAGGTCTGTTATGGAAAGTCTAGACACAACGGAAGGGAAAATGAGCCTTCTAACTCAAAACATGGCCACTACTGACACTGTGAGAAAAGACAACTAACTCTGGGACAGGAACTCCCCTAAAGGACTAAGTCCTGCCCACTTACATAACAAGCGTTCCTTTCCTACAGGTTCACGCCCCAGGGAAGCCTGGGAGGGAAAGGTTCCTGAGGATTAGGTGGGCTCTGAAAAGTCCCTCTCCTGACAGAACCTGACCAAGACCATGCCAGTCTGCTCATTAAAACTTAGCTGTCTGGGTCGGATCCATGCATTACAGTCCCTAACACCATGCCTCACTTACATAACGCACCTAGAGCAGTGAGGCTGAACAGACCATAGAGTGGCCGCGGCCAGGCACTGGGGGAAGGAGTAGGGAGTTGATTTAGTTTGGGAAGATGAAGAAAGTTCTGGGACTGGATGGTGGCGGAACAACATGAATGTTTGTAATACTACAGAGTCACACACTTAAATGATGAAAACGGACACTGTAGTGGTGCATGTTCATAATACAAGCACTTAAAAGGCTGAGGCAGGAGGGCTGCCACGAGTTGGAGGGACATCTGGAAAAAAAAAATAAAAAGCTAAAATGATTTATGTTATATGCGTTTTACAAAAAATATTTTTTTTCTTTTTTTGCTTAAAAGGAAAAAAAAAAAAAAAAAAAAAAAAAAGATGGCTCGGCGGTGGAGAGCACTTGTTGCTCTTCTAGAGGACTCAGGGTCAGTTCCCAGCACTGAGAAGGTGGCTCACAACCATCTGTGACAAGACGGACCCCCTCTTCTGGCCTCCTTGGGCACCAGGCACGCATGTGGTGCGGCCAAACATTCATACACATAAAACAAACAAAATGAATAAATCTTTTAAAAAATAAAAACAAAACCTGACAGCGGTAGCTCGGGTCTGTGATGTCGGCACTGGGCAGGCAGAGGCAGGGTCATGATCTCTGTGGCCAGCCCAGGCTACATAGTGATTTCCAGGCTTGCCGATGAAACAAAGTGAGACCCTGCCTCAAAATACTAAACAGATTTTAAAATCACTACTTTTCATGTCAAAGGCCAAATCTTTATTGAGGAAAAGGTTGCTAGTGACTGCTTGTACCAGACAATGAGGAAACACTAGAACCCAGCAATCCAGAAACCTGTATTGTTTCACTTTTAAATCCAGGAGCATGAAAAGCTCCTAATCCGAGAGTCAGAAGGACAGTTACACAAGATGACCGACCCCCCAGACACAGTGCTTGATTCCTCCCTCAGAGTGGCCCGTCCACCAAGGAGGCGCTCCTCACTGCTAACCCTGCTTACTCTCATTGGCCGGAGGGGTTTCTTTGATCTGCTGGCAGTGTACCGCTGAAGTGGACAGGGTTCGAGGGGCTGGCTTGGCTCCAACTTCCATCATCTTGGGGCAGTTTTGAGCATAGAACAGGAGAGATTTTCCTGCCTTCTGCAGAAAGGCCTGAGGAACTCGAGATAAGAACGGGCATCGTCGAACCACAGTCTCCATGTCCGCAAAGGTGCTGGCTCCTGTAGAGGAACCCATGGTGAGTGATGTCAAGGGTGCCCCAGATACACATCTCACTCAAGAAACAAAACTAACGACAGACAGCACGGCACAGGATTCAGTGAAGGAGTGGTGGCCACACTCACACATCCAGCGGCAACAGCGAGGCTAGGGAAGCTGTCACTGTCACCTATCCAGGGAGGGAGGGCTCATGGGGATCCTACCAACCCGAGGAAGGGGGAAGAGTCTGGACCAGCCCTGAGTTCCCAAGACAAGGTCATGCCCCTACAGCTGGAACCCGGAAAGGGGGCAGAAAGAAGGGAAGGGTCGGGGCTAGCCCGTCCAGAGAATCGGGCTGGTGGAAGAGGTCAGCGGGGAGTCAGAGGTTCCCCGGGGTCGCAAGCTCGAGAAGGGCAAGGGTGGGAAGGAGATTCGGAAGCCGCCTGTCAAATGCCTAATGTCAGGAGGGGACGGAACGGGGCCTCTGAGGCAGCCTAAGGGGTGAAGAGGGCGGCGGTGGTGGACGCAGAGCCAAGGTGGGGGCCGGAGGGGGATGTGGCGTGTGGCCGCGGTGGCGGGGCGCGCCGGCCTCCCGCGATCACCGAGCGGGCTTCTTACCTGCGCGGGCTCTCGACGGGGCAGCGATGGGCACTCGAGAGGAGGGCGCTAAACGGACGGACCAATGCCCTTGCCCACTATAGCAGCCTAGGGACACAGCCGCTTTGGCCCTAATATAGAGCCAGAGTGACCGCTGCGCATGCGCCGTGGGCGCGGCCTGTCGGGCGCATGCGCGCCGCCGCCGCCGCCGTCAGGGCAGGCTGGCACGTCTCTCCTTGTGGGCTCTGCTCCAGCTGGTGGGCTGTGACTTAGGCCTACGCTTCCAGGATCAGAAGGCCAAGGCGGTGGGCGGGCAAGTCCCTTTTTGGACCTGATCCTTCGGCCCTCTGTCATCTTCCACGAACAGCCCTGTGCGTCAGACCCCTGCGCCCCACTGTGTTGGGCGTAAACCAACCACGCAGGAGCCTACCTCCTAGTAAAAGGGTTTCTTGGACTTAGAGGAAGGGGTTACGGATCTTAAAAATCTGATCAGCTAGGGACTTAGTTTTGTTTGTGGCAATGACAGGCCTTTCCTCCTGGACGGATGGCCCTGGTGAGGATATGCTGAGGTGTCTCGGATTGCAGCAGCAGCAGCAGCAGCAGCAGCAGCAGCAGCAGCAGCAGCAGCAGGGAGCCCAGTGGTGGCACATTCTGGTCCGAATTGAAGAGAAGAGGGAACTGAGGAACTGGCTAGATGGGGCCCATAGCTCCGCAGCTCTAGCCTTGCAGATGTGAGGGTGACATGACACACAGATACAGGGTGTAACAGCTGTAAATTACTGTTCTTGTTTTTGAGACAAGATCTCATGTAGTCAATCCAGGCTGGCCTCAAAATTGCTACATTGTCAAAAATGACCTTGAACTCCTGCCTCTACTATTCCCCCACCTCCCCACCCTCCACCCCCAGTGCTGGAATTACAAGTATGAGCTGCCATGCCTGGAGTATATAGCACCGAGGATTGAACCCAGGTTCTTGTGGCAAAAACTCTGTTAATTGAGCTACATCCAGACCCTGGTTTTTGTTGTTTTTGTGAGTCAGGGTCTTGCTTTGTGGACTAGGCTGGCCTCAGACTTTCCCAGATTCTCCTGCTTCTGTCTCAAATGCTGGGGTTACATAATGTGCCACAACACTCAACTAGCTCTTGTTTTCATTCTACACTGAGCATTGTCCAAAGTCCTCGCTGGCCATGATGCACACCGATTGAATGGCTTAGTCCTCCATCCTGTGTTAGTCCCGAAGATAGGAGGAGCACACTAACCCAGATCATCATGGCCAAATGAATTAAAGCAAGCTTGTGTGTGTGTGTGTGTGTGTGTGTGTGTGTGTGTGTGAGAGAGAGAGAGAGAGAGAGAGAGAGAGAGAGAGAGAGAGGTCTGCCTCCCCTTAAATAGAGGTTTGAGAGGTCAGCATTGGACTTGAGGAAGACAAGGTTTTTATAGCTCAGGGGTAGGGGGTTTCCAAATGGGGGATTTGGCAGACAGAATAGGTGAGGTTGCAGGAGCAGAGCGTAAGCCTAACAAGTAGTCATAATGACCTCCTGAAGCAAGGACGTGATTGCAAGGTGGTCCTAAGGCAGTCATAACAACAGATAGTCATAACAACCTTTTGAAACAAAGGATTGTGTCTCACGAATCCTAAATGGTCTTATAATAAAAACCTGGAGCCAGATATCGGGGTGAAAGTTGAAAGATCAGAGAAACAGAGCAAGCCACAGCCACCACCTCTTACCTCACCAACTCCTCAGCCGGACAGAGCCTCTGCAAGACAGTGAATTCCTGTCTCTTCCCGATTTATATTCCTTTCTCTGCCCAGCCATATCACTTCCTGTTTCAACCACTGCCTGGCTCTGTTTCTTTTTTAGACTGGATTAATCTCATGTAGCCCAGTGTGGTCTTGAACTCACAGAAATCCAGATAGATCTCTGCCTCTGCCTCCCGAGTGCTAGAATTAAAGGTGTGTGCCACCACTGCCTAACCTCTGTGGCTAACTCTATGGCTGGCTCTGTCCTCTGATCTTCAGGCAAGCTTTATTTCTTAGATTACAAATAGAGTTGCAAGATGGTTATAACTTTTTGAACCAAAGATATGGTTGCCATTTCCTGGAATAGGCAGAGCAGAACTGTCTATTGGTAAGGTCCTTGAGAAACAGGCTTAATCATAAACAGGAATGAATCTAGTTTGTCTTTACTAAAAGATGGCTTTTAAGCCTAAGATGGAGGCAGGCTGGTTCTTCACCTCAAGTTCAGAGCTGAGTCCTGCCTCCTTTGAGGCTTCTGAGACCTCACCTGAGGGGTAGGGCTTGGCAGTCTCTCAGGAATGCCAACCTGGACTCCTTATTCCACACCCTTCTCAGCTTGCCCCAGACTGGGTTAGGCTGGACCCATGCCAGGCCAAGAGCTGCCCTCCTGCAGTTGGAGAAAGAACCATTCTGGTTGCTTTGTTCTCAGCTGGACATCCATAAGCAGAACAAAGTCCAGAATGATAAGGTGGAGGTGTGCCCAGGTACTTCCTGATTCCCTCTGAATCCCCAGTTAGCTGTAAGACTGGCATGGTGAGTCTGTGGCTGCAGAGGAGGCCCTTGAGTCCAGAGTGGCACTGTGAGCATGCCAGGATGAGGGCTCTGGTCTACTTGGCTACCGCGACCTGGCTACCATCTTGCTAAGGGGTAGCACCTGCCCGTCAGAGAGAAGAGAGAAGGGCCAGCACTTGAACTCAGAGCTAAGACCTGGTGCTGAGTGATTGTGTTTGCTTTGGGCCTCCCTTCCCTTATCTGGGCAATGGGATCATAATGCCTGCTGCCTGGCTGTCTTGCTGTTGGGGTGAAGCAGAGCAAACTGAATATTGGAGCCAACCTGAGTTCTAAATTCAGCTCTGAATCTCAGTTGGCTTTGGCCTTCACAGCCAAGGCTTGATTTCCTCATCTGCAAAGCTTTCCCAGCTCCTTGTGATCAGCAGGAGTGTCAGGGTGAAGTCATATCTGCAGAGGCTTATTTATTGTTTAAACTCATGGCAGCTCTCTGGGAATTTCCTGTTCGATGAAGGGGCGGAGGTTAGGGGGCCAGGAGGCCCACCCACAAGGAAAGCGAGATAGGATGTTGTAAACAATCCGAAGTAGAGGAACTATTACTTCAACCGGAAGGAGGGAGACTCCTGCCACCAGGAAGGCGTCCTGAAGAGAAGTAGGCGCTGGCTGGAAGGGTGGGTCTGTGTGATGCTAGGAGAATGCTGGGTAAAAACAGGAGTGGAGAGTCCCAGGCCTGTGGGAGAGGAGCGTGGTGTGTGAGTCAGCCTGAAAACTTGGTCATTTGTATACAACAGCCAGGAGCTGGAGCAGGAGCTTAGACCAGAGAGGCTTCAAATGAGCCACAGTGTCAGAACCCACAGAATCACCACCAAGGTTCTGCCCAAAATGCAGGTCTCTAGGCTATACTCCTTGATGTTTTGAACCAGGGATCTGTATTTTAAATAGACCACCCTTCCAGTGCTGTGGGTTTTGGGTCTCTTAGGGCCACATGTTGGAATATACCACTCCAACGGTTTGTGTTTAAGATCTTGAAGGACAAAGCTGAGTCCAAGAATTCTAATCCTAGTGCATTCAACTTCTTGAGCAGATCCTCCATGTCCTCAGCTTCCGTCTTTGTGGAGTAGGAGTGACCCAACCTGCCTTGGTTTGTGCCTAAGTGAGCCCTGTGCTGGTCCAGCAGCCATCCTCTCCTGGGCTGCTGCTTCCACTCAAGTCCTCCCTCCTCCAAGGATCCTTCCCTTCCCTCTCTCTCCCCACCCTACCCCCCTCCCATCCTCCCACCACCCCTCTTGAGCTGCAGTACAAACTCCTCTTATCCGCTGCTCTGACCCTGAGCATGGGTGCCCAAACCGGTGGAGTTCAAGCAAGGTCAGCCCTCATTCTAGCAATGACGTGGAGACCTTACTCTTTCTCAGCCAGTCTGCGTCACCGTCACGGTCAGGGACTGCTGCACAGAGCCCACGGTCAAGGCAGAAGGAAAATGTCAACCCTTGCCCCAGAATCCCCACTCCTTACTCTGGGCCCCACAAGTTGTTTTCAGCAGCGCCCTGTTTCATGACAAGCTCACCAGCCAGTCTTACTGATTACCACTCAGTTTCCCCTCAAGGAGACCCTGGTAGCAGGGGACAGGTGCCGCCTAGCATGCTCACTGTCCTGGATTCAATTCCAGGAAAGCAAAGCTAACATAAAAAGAAAAGAAAGCCTTCCAGCCCAGGCTGCTGCTGCCCTGCTGGAGCTTTGGACCAGAGGGACATCTTGTACTAGTTAGTACCCACATGTGCAAGCAGGTGAGGGCTTCCTGGCCGGCCAGCTCTGCCCTGGAGGGCTGGAAACGTGAACTCCAGGCTTACAGTGGCAGGGCTCAGGAGCCACTGTGTGAGGTGGGATGTAGGGACTGAGGAGAGAGATTGAGGCACCTGCTTTGGGGTGTCCCTGCCTTTGGAATGACTTCAGGTGCTGGCTGTCCTGGGCCAGGGGAAGCAGTGTAGGCCCCGACTTCTGTTCATGAAGCTGAGGGTGGAGTTGGGGGCTCTGGCTGGAGGGAAGCTGTAACAGGGCCCCAGACTTTAGCATAACTGACGCCATGATTGAGGTACCATTCAGGCTGTGAAACTCAGCACAGAGAGAGAACCGCCTGTGGAAACTAAAACAAAGGCCTAATCCATCAAAGTCCATACTTACGGGGAAATCTCTAAATGGACTAAACTTGCTTTTTGACTTCTGTAGTTCCTCTTCTAGCTAACTGTTCTTGTTAACTAAAGTATGTCAACCAAGATTATGGTTTTTGTGCCTAAAAGCTCTCCCTGAGAAAGGCTTAGGGTTACACTGGGATCCCAAACACCTAGTGTAGTTGTGGGCCAGCTAATAAAGACTTTCTATTGGCCTAAACACATGTCTGAGCAGTCTTCTCTGGTGGATATCCCCCAACAGAACAGGGCTATTAATGCTCCAGAGGCAGGTCTTCATTAGGGTTCTCACAGGACAGCCCACCTCCAACCCCATTCTAGAGATCAGGAGATGTCCAGAAGGTCCCAGAGATCCCCAGAACCTAGGCCTCCAGCCACACACAACAAATTATGGCCTAGAGATCTGCTTGGCTCAGGTCGTATTTTGTTTTCATTGTTTTGATGTTTTGTTTTTAGTTTATTCTTAGAGAACCAACATAACATGCTTTTTGGTTGGTTTGTTTGTTTTTTGCTTAAAAAGCAGTGCCAGGCTGACCCGATGGCTCAGTGGGTGAAGACACTTGCTGCCAAGCCTGACAGTCTCAATCCCTCAGCGCCACATGGTAGGAGAGAGCCAGCTCCTGCAAGTTGTCCTCTGACCTCCACACACATGCATTCAAACACAGGGTAAATTAATAAAAATACCATTTACAGCTGGGCGGTGGTGGCACACAACTTTAATCCTAGCACTCGGGAGGCAGAGGCAGGCCAGCCTGGGCTACAGAGCGAGTTCCAGGACAACCAGGGCTACACAGAGAAACCCTGTCTCAGAAAAAAAAAAAGTACTTTACAAAACCAATGTCTCTACTGCAAACAAATTTGGGTCAAAATAGATGACATCAGTTCCATTTGTCGGGGTGTAGAGGTGCCAGTTAGCCAAAGAAACTGTCAAATTTGTTAACATTGTTTCCATTTCTAAATCATCCTTGAAAGAAATGTAGGGGGTCACACTGTCCTCAAAGTAATCCAGAAAGTGACACTTGTGTCTAGATTCATGTTTTCGCCAATTAAAGAAGTAATTTTTTTTTTTTTTAGACAAGGTTTTGTTACATAGCCTGGGCTGACCTGGAACTTGCTATGTAGACCAGGCTGACCTCAAACTCACAGAAATCTGCCTGACTCTGCTCCTGCTTCCCAAGTGCAGGGATTAAAGACATGCATCGCCATGGCTGGTTTTCTTGAGACAAGATCTTGCTATACTGAGTGTGTGTGTGTGTGTGTGTGTGTGTGTGTGTGTGTGTGTGTGTGTGTATGTGTGTGTGATTTGTCCTCTGACTTGGCAGTTAAGTGCCTTTCCCTAATGAGTCATTTTTCTAGCCCCTTGTAGGCTTCTTTTGTGAAGCTGCTTCCTGTCATGATTCATGACAACATCAACCAGGGATTTAAGTGAAGGCATTTCACCGAAGGCAGGTCCTCAGGCTGAGCCTCTGTCCTATTGGCCACCTTCCCCTTAGTGTCCAGGCACAGGGCATCTTTGATCTCTCTTCTCACCTTAGCTGATGGCCTCCTGAGCCGTTGGGGAGACAGACTCCAGGAAAAGACCTGGTGTGAGCCAGGATGCTGGGGGAAAGGAGGTAGAAGGTGGATTCTTGTTAGAGCTGAGACCAGATGTCAAGGAGAGGCAAGCTAAGACAGAGCAATGGAGCCAAGGATTTAGTGAAGTCTGGGAAGCCTCATGAAGGATACCAGAGAATCAGTCAGACAAAGGAAGAAAATAGATGTATGTCACGGAAGGAAGGTGACAGTCCTAACCAGCTGCAGCCAGATTTCCACTGTTAGTCAGCTTCATGCTGTCGCCTGCAGCAGCCTGAGTTCTTTCAGAGACCTCGACTCCCTAAAGAGAGACTCTTGACTTTGCTGAAGAAAAGAATTTTAGGATGAGCCAGTGCTGTGGGATAATGCGCTTGTACACTGTAAAGATTTTTAACTCATATTGGTTCAATAAAATGATGATTGGCCAGTAGCCAGGCAGGAAGTCTAGGTGGGGCAACCAGACTAGAAGAATTGTGGGAAGAGGGAAGGAGGGACGGGGTCCTCAGCCAGATGAAGAGGAAGTAAGATGAAAATGTTGGACTGAGAAAAGGTACCAGGCCGTGTGATTAAACATAGACAAGAATTTTGGGTTAATTTAAGCGTAAGAGCTGGTTAGTTATAAGCCTGAGCAACCGGCCAAGCAGTTTATAATTAATATAAGCCTCTGTGTGTTTATTTGGGACTGACCAGCTGCGGGACCAGGCAAGCAGAAACTTCTGCCTACAAACCAGTGTGAAGCAAAATTAGATTAGGGAGAAAGTTCAATGTTGTTTTCTTTGTTGTTTTAACATAGCTTTAAGTGGAGAGTTGGTTGAAAAAGAAGTCCTTGGGGGAAGACAAGAGACACCCCAGCTGGATGTGGACCTCTTAGGAGTAATGTCTAACCCTCTTAGTAGAAGCCACATAGATGACTTGGAAGCTCTTAAAGGTCCCTCCCAAATCGTTACTAAGAAACCTGCTTTTCTTCCTTTGCCATCTTCTTTTTATTATTTTCTTCTTCTTCTACTCTACTACTTCTCCTTCTCCTCCTCCTCCTTCTTCTCTTCCTCCTCCTCTTCTCCCCTCACCCTTGGTTTTTTTTTTTTCAAGACAGGGTCTTTCTATATAGCTCTGGCTGTCCTGGGACTCTCAGTGTAGACCAGGTTTGCCTCAAACCCACAGAGATCTGCCTGCCTCTGCCTCCCAAATGCTGGGATTAAAGATGTGTGCCACTACACTGGACTTTCTTCTTTTTTTGAGACAGGGTCTCATTGTGTAGCCCTGGCAGGCCTAGAACTCACTATGTAGACTAGGCTGGTCTTGAACTCACCAATATCCGTCTGCCTCTGCCGAGTTCTGAGTTCAAAGGAGTACAGCATCACACCAGAAAGTGTCCTCTCCTTTGATAAATGAAAGTATAGGGTGGATCTAGAGGTGCCTGGGGCAGGACAACAACCTGGTAAGATAAAAGCAGCGGGCGACAAGAGTTTCACAGGGGTGCTAGGACCCATCTTCCAGTATGAATGGGCATTTCTTGAGAACCATCTGGAAAACAGCAGATTCCAGCTGGCAGAAGAGAAAGGCCATAGACACACCCCACCTGGACCTTAGCATGATTCCCTGCGATCTCAGCATTCTTATCTTTTAAATATCTCTGTATAAAAGGAATCTTGTCTCTGGGTGGGCGACCTTTTTTAAACATTTCTTTATCTTAGAGGGGAGGCATACACATACCACAGCGCACATATGGAGGCTATGAGAGGACGACTTTCAGAAAGAAGTTGGTTCTCTCCTTCCGCCACGTGGATTCTGGAGATTGAACTCAGATCATCAGGTTTGGTGGCAAGCAGCACCCTTACCTGCTGAGTCATCTCACTGCCCTATGCTAGAACTGAAGGCTTTGACAGACTCTGGGGCTAGCCCCTCCATTCCCTTCCCATGTCCCCTCGTTTCCCCTTGTCTTTCTAGCCTAAGCAGCGTGACTGTCACCCACAACAGGGGCCTTGGTCTATGATCCCATGGACATTTAAAGGCCCATTCTGCATTCTTTCTGCTGAGGGGAGGGGGGGCTGGAAGAAAAGGGAGGAGAAGCCAAGAGAGTAAGCAGAGGCCGCATGTGGTGGCCAAGAGTGAGCAGAGGCTGCAGTGTGGTGGCGCATGCCTTTAATCCGGGCACTCAGGAGACAGAGGTTGACAGAACTCTGTGAGTTCAGGCCAGTTAGGGCTATCTGAGACCTTGTCTCAAAGACACACACACACACACACACACACACACACACACACACACACACACACACACGGTGAGGGGGGAGATTAGGGACTCAGAGGGGAAGCAGATCTGGGTGTGTATGGTCAGAGAGGACAGTTGGAGGGCAGTTGCTAAAAATGCAGTTAGCAAATATGTTCAAGTGTTTGGCCAGATGCTGTGGCTGTTGCCAACTTCAAGTTCCCTTTGAAGCAACTGTACACGATGGTGCCACAATTAGTCCCTATATGGGACAGAGCCCAGGATAGGTAACTTGTATACAGCCAGCAAGAAGGAAGTATGGCTGACTGTTGGCCTCTGCCTTCAAGACCAGTTTTTCTTTTCTTTCTTTTTTTCTTTTTTTTTTTCCAGACAGGGTTTCTCTGTGTAGCTTTGAAGCCTGTCCTGGAACTCATAGAGATCCATCTGCCTCTGCCTCACAAGTGCTGGAATTAAAGGTGTGTGTCATCCCGCCCAGTGTGTGTGTGTGTGTGTGTGTGTGTGTGTGTGTGTGTTTGGTCTTTCAGTGTAACAGTCCTGGCTGTCCTGGAACTCACTTTGTAGACAAGGCTGGCCTCGAACTCACTGAGATCCGTCTACCTCTGCCTCCCAAGTGCTGGGATTAAAGGCGTGCGCCACCACCGCCTGGCCAGCATGTATGTTTTAAGCCTGATTTTTACCAGCACCTATCCAGTGTCCCTGTCTTATATTCCTTCCTCCAGCCTCAAGCAGTCAGGACAGGCCCTGAGTTTCACTTTCCTCACACACAAAAAGTGATCGATACTTCTGTGATGGTCAAATGTCACTTGTGACCTTAGCTTGGGCATGGGGCTCCCTGTTTAAATGCTGGTCTAGATGTTACTGTGACTAACACCTGTGAACAGCTGATTTCAAATGAAGGAGATTGTTCTGGATAAGGAGGGTAGGCCTCCATCAGTAGTCAGCTGAAGACTTCCTGGAGGAGGCCTTGTGTCACAGCTGGGATGCAGAAGTCTAGCCAGCGTGTCCAGTCCACCGACTCTTCTACAGACTTCATACTTGTCAGTCTCGGCCGTCACTCAGGTCATCTTCATCTCATCAGTTCCATTTGTCAGGAGAACCCCGACTGGTACTGTCTTTACATAAGGTTGGGGTGACGGCTCAGTGGAAGGGACAACTAAACCTGGGAGCAGAAGGCAGGAAGTGTCAGTTGTTGGCTGCAGATGAGAAAATGGAGGGCTCAGAAAGTGACGCGTCTAAAGCCTCAGAGAGCTCGAGTCAGATTCCAGCCAGACCTGCCTCTCCCTTGTTGCTCACCTCCTCACCAGCTGGCCAAGGGGCTCACCATGGGCTCTGTCTTTCCAGAAGTCCCCTCTGGGTTCCCTCAGGCACTGGTGGGGGAAGTAAGGCCAGAACCGTAGGAGGAGGACTCCTGGTACTGAATTAACAGTCTTGTGTAAGAGCAGCTGGAGGTTGGGGCCCGCCAGCCCTCCATTGCTCCACGACTGTCTTGTGGCTTTGAGATAGTGGGGTCAACAGAGGAGCAGCGACAGCTGGAAGGCCTTGCCTTCGTCTCTGCAGCCCTAGGGAGCAAAGGCCTTTGAAAGACAGACCTGGGATCTGCATCCCAGAAGCCTTCGGGACCCACAGAGGTGAGGGCAGTGAGGGAGCCGGAAGGCTCTAGTCCGCCAAGCCCTCAGCAGTCCGGGAGTCTGGTGCTCCTGAGGCGAAGCGAGGCACTTCTTCACCCAGTTCTTCTCCCTTCATCCCTTATCCTCAGTCCTTCTCCCAGCTCCTCCTTTCTACGTTAGCTGTTTGGTAGACCTGAGCAATTTCAGGCACTAAGGGATCATGGGGCTTGGGCACACACACCGAGAACAGATGCCAGGCACAAGGACTTCTGGAATAATGTAGAGGGAGGGCTCCACAGCTCAGTGGGTAAGGGCACTTGCCATGAAAGCCTAATGACCTGGTCCTCAGAACCCACGTCAGGGTGGAAGGAGAGAACCAACTCCCAAGGTTGTCTTTTGACCTTCACCCCTGTGTCTACACACCTATGTCGCACACACACAATAATAGCATAAAAACTATAAGAAAAAGTGATGGAGACCCTATGGCCGTAGATTATCAAGACAAAACCTACTACTGTTAATATGTGGGTGCTAATTTTCTTTTTTTGAGACAAGATTTCTAGTCAAAGCTGGCCTCTAGTTCCCTAGGTAGTTAAAGATGATCTTGAACCCCTGGTCTTCCTGCCTCTACCTAAGTGCTGATTTATGCAGTGCCAGGATTGAACTCAGCCTCATCCAGGATAATCAGGCTATCAACTGAGCTACATTCCCAGAGTGATGATGATAAATGCTTTTATTATTTTTTTTTGGTTTAGTTTATCTTATGTGTATATATGAATGCCTGCCTGCATGTATATGCACCTTGTGTATGTCTGGTGCCCTGGAGGCTGGAAGAAGGGGTTAGATGCCCTGGAACTGTAGTTGTAAGCCTTCATGTGGGTTCTGGGAACCAAACCCAGGTCCTCTGAAAGAGCAGCAAGTGTTCTTAACCATTAAGCCGCCTCACCAGCTCCTGGGGGATAATTTCTCATTGTGAAGGCACCCTTAGGTGGTTTGCAGTGATGATCTGTTTGGAAATGAATTGTCAAGAAAATAACTCCACCCTGCTAGGGACTGTGCTGTGGCCTCTCTGTTAGAGTTTGCTCGTGGAAGCTATCTCCTTGGGACCTTCTGAAAACTGTAGGGAGGGGATCCCATCCTGGCCATTCTATTCCTGTAGGTTCTTTTCAGAGCCCTGGTGGTGACAAGAGCCCTGGTGGTGACAAGAGCCCTGGGGGATGGGACAGGGGAGGGAAAGGGTGAGAAGGCCTGAGGTCACCTCAGGAGTTAAAGGCTATTCAAAAAAGACAAGACAATGGGAGAAGGTCAGGAAAAGGGTCTCGTGGAATGGGCTGAGGCCCGTTCAGCTTCTAGCCTGCCACAGCCGTAACTCCATCCACTTGGTTTGACTTGCAGGGTCCAGTCAAGAGAGGGTCTTGTTCTGCGGGGTGAGAAGACAGCTCTGTAGCCTTGGGGTTCAACTTCAGGCAGAGAAGGCCTTGGGGCCCAGCAGGGTAACCATGTTAGACCCAGCCTGGGGGGACAGCTGGCAGGAGGGGACTGTCACACCACATATATTACCTAACTCCCAGAGTCCATCGGGCTGGACGCAGTGACTAGTTGTGACACCAGATCTGGGCTTCCCCCAGCTAACGGCCACAAGCCCCCTAAGCCCCGGGTTCCTCTTTGCTTAGCTTCCCACAGAGAGGTCTTCTGAGCCGTGTTTCCTTAACCTGACCTGGAGGTTTGGAGGGCAACAAGCTGGTCCCCGCATCCCATCCCAGGATACGCAATGAGTACTTGTTGATGAATGAATGCAGTACATACATGAATGAGGATTATATGCCGACTGTGTGTGAATGAGTTTGGCGTGGGTCCCTAGGCCCCAGAAAAGGGGTAGTCTGTTAGTCTTTGGGCACATTGTGTCATCAGAGAAGTCGATGTGGAAAGCTAGAAGCTGATGGCTGGTCAGCAAGGAGCCTGAAGAGAGGCTGGGGAACATTAAGATCATCTTAGGGCACCCAGTTGCTTGGACACCCTCGAGAGCCTGCCCTGGTAGGCTCCATAAGTGACCAGGTCTGGATACCCTGTGGCCACATGCCACCCAGGCATATATATAATAAGGCCATACAAGCTCTGCAATGAGTCCACAGCAGCACCTTTTGCTACACTGACCGTGGGAAGGCCTGCTCTGATTCCCAGCCTGTTCAGCAAACTGACTATGAAGTCAGTGGAACCCCCTTGGAACTGGCTTAGGACAGAGACTGACCACAGCACGTGTTGAATCTTTTTTTTTTTTTTTTTTTTTTTAAATTTTTTTTGTCATGGTTTCTCTGTGTAGCCCTGGCTGTCCTGGAACTACCCTGTAGACCAGGCTGGCCTCCAACTCACAGAGATCTACCTGCCTCACCACCACCCTGCTTCCTTTATTTATTTATTTATTTGTTTATTTATTTATTTGCTTACTTACTTACTTATTTATTTATTTTCATGTGGCAAATCTTCATCTCAGATCCTAGGACTCTCTCTAGGCCCTTCTTCCACACCCTTTTCTGGCCAGTTCATTAGAAGATGACTAGGGCTATGTGGGGTCACCATGGAACAGCTGAGGCACCCAGCACCAGGTGCAGTATGGGAGCCAGAGGACACAAACTCAGCACTCTGAGCTGGCATTTCCCCAGCTTAGGACTAGAAGGCTGTTCTCGAGTGTTCTGTGGTCAGCTAAGTTGGTGTGTTATATAATTCCCTTCATATTGGGTAACTGTGTTTCAAGAACAG